AAGTCAAATAATAGGCCTGTTCGCACAGCAATCACAAACCAGTCAGAGCAAATTAAATTGGTTGAAAACAGTCAGAAAACTATACCTTTTCAACTTCAAATTGGGACTAAGCAACTTCAAATTGGGAACTAATAATATCAAAGTGGGAATTAACAAAATCAAATTGGAACTAATCATATTTAATTTGGTATCTACTAATCAACTTCAAATTGCGACTAATCAATTTTGATTTGGGAAGAAACAAATTCAAATTGGGAATTGGGGATTAATATAAATGAAAGATTGCTAGTGAAAAAAATCAATATACATATTAATGGAAAAGGGACTTTGAATAGTAATGAAATGAGATTTTGATAAAGTTTGTGAGACCGCGAAAGTCCGGGTTTATCGATGAAATGTTTTCATTCGGGCTTAATTGCCGTCCTAAGTTGGATTAGTTGGAATTTCTTCCTGAATCCTGACGTTTCGCTAGCACGCGTGGCCAGCATCTCAGATTCAGAGGTGCTTCCATGTCCGATTCTGGTAGCAGTCTGCTTATTTCAGCGTAATGCATAATAACAGCATTTTCCTCTATGTATCCAGTCATTTATACCTTATGTTCTTCTAAAATGTTTGCTTTTCTTTGACCCCCATGTTTCCTTCTAACAACTTCTTGGGTACCTACCCATCGATAAGCTGTAGTTTTTTTTATACCTCGCCAATCCTCTTCAGTCGCCATTGTTATTAAAAACAGCTTTTTTGCTTTTTAGCATTTTCTGCATCAGGTACTTTAATGTAGGGCATTTTGTTAATTTAATATACGGTTTAAAAGTAACTGCCGTTTGACTTGCAAAACTTTAAAATTTATTCAACAATTCCAATTTGAAGTTGATTAGTACCAAATTTAAATTGTTTATTCCCAAATATAATACGCACATTATACATTAGTCGTAAATAAAAGTTGATTAATTCCAATTTGAAATTGCTACGTTCCAAATTAAAATTGTTTGATCCCAATTTGAAGTTGAAAAGGTATAGTAGAACGACTGGATAAAATAATGATCAACTAGTTCATCAGTAAAAATTAAAGGATTTTATACAGGGTGTTCCTAAATATCATGTACAAACGGAAGTGGGTGATTCCTTGGTTTATTTCATGACTAAAATTCCTAATAAACGTAGGTCCGCAAACGCTTCATTACCGATCTACAGGGTGTTGAAATTTTATTGTAATCAAATTGAAAATGAGCAAGAATATGGCGGCGAAGGGTGTCTTACTTCTAGATTCCTATTGAAAATGAGCAGGAATATGGCTGCGGAACCTCTATTGTCGCCACTGTACGTAGGAAAGGTTTATTGCGTCACTTTAATTTCATCTAGCTAATTACAGAGATTTGTTTTTTAATTTTTTTTCTCGATAACGGTCGGTGATACGAAAAAACTACAAGAGAACAAAAAGTTTCTAAATAAGGTAGAAAAATTATTTTGTTTCTTAGCATCGACCAGCGGCGCACCGCAAAAAAGTTCAGGGGCAGAGAAGGGGGCATGACCCCTGAAAAAACATCACCCTGTAGATTCTGGCAAACTTTTGATATGTGCAATCATCCAGCTCCTATTGCGTAACCTATATTCCAAATTTGAGCTAAATCCCTCAAAAACTGCAGGAGCTATAAAGAAAAAACTAAAAAAATCTTAAAATTTCACACCCTGTAGATCGGTAACGAAGCGTTTGCGGACCTATGTTTATCAGAAATTTTAGTCATAAATTGTACATGATATTTAGGAACACCCTGTATAAAATTATGTTTTAAGATTTTACGCTAAATTATCAATATCATTTCCACAGTGCCGGTTTACCAATTTGCCGCCCTACGCCTGTTTTAGGCGCGTATAGCCAGAAAATTCAGATGGGGTGGGGGTTTCGCCATTGAAATTAAGAAACATTGCATGACCATAGGGATGTCACAAAAAAAATTGCGGCGCAGGCGAAAATTTTGTAGAATTTTAAGGTCAATGCTTTATATGAAAATAATAAAATTTTGAGGGTAAAAAAGTATATGCTAAAACATAGGTTTCGTGGTTTTTAATTATATTTTCTGATCAAGTGGGGGGGGGTTAACCCCTAAAACCCAGGGCCGTATCTAGGGGGGGGTTTTGGGGGTTCAAACCCCTCCCCCCCCAAAAAAATAATAAAATTCAAAAAATTTAACTTAGAAACAAACAACACTTATTAAATACTTATTTATTTTTTTAAATTTTTATTCTAGTGTAACAATTTTTTTTGCCACTTTGTCTAACCCCCCCAAAATTTTGGTCTAGATACGGCCCTGCTAAAACCTACTCCGTGGCTACGCCCCTGGCCTGTTTGGAAAGGCCGCCCTCATGTTGGCACGAGCGGCGCGTACCTCAAAAAACAGGGAGCCAAGAAGATACAGGACTAGGACACGGACAGTGGCGTACATAGCCAGGCTTTTGGAGGCGGACGGGGCAAACTTAATAGGGACGCCAGGATTAAACGAAAATCATTTTGGGTACCACGCCCAAAAATGTTTATTTTGAGCCTTTTTTCATTTATCTTTCTGTACTACCTACATTTTATTACCTAAACTTGATATAGGTACATTATTTTGATATGTGTGTGGTCTTTTGTTCGATTAATTTTTTTTCATAGGTATGCACTTTTTAGTTTTAAAACCGGCGTTTACAGGCTCTATAATTTTTTTGGTAGGTATCTGTTCTTTGTGCTTCGTTATTTTTTGTATTTGTTAGGTATAATTATTGTTCGAATTTATCAAAAATCAAATAAAGGTCCAACGCGAAACAGAATCGCGTTTCGCGTTGGATCTTCGGCTTTCTTTTCCCGATTATTTTTTGTCTTTTTTTTTATTCTTTTTTTAAAATTTTGCCGCCTCCCCAAATTTGCCGCCCTACGCCTGTGCGTACTGTGCGTATATGGAAATACGACACTGCATTTCCAATGCATCCGATGATTGCAAAAATTGAGAAATTTTCGATTTTTTTGAAGATTTTCTTTAACTGACACTCGAACTGACATAAGTGGAAAAATATTTTGTGTGAGAAGAATACCTTGTTTAATTTGGGGGCCCTAAATATCCCGGGGCCTTCCCGCACCGCGGGCCCTGCGGGCCCGTCAGGCACGCCACTGCATATTTGGACAAAATAAAAAAACACGCATCGATTTTTTTTCGATTTCCTACAGTTTGCAATACAAAATAATCAATTTAATTTTTCATGCAAGTTCCCTATTGTTTGAAACAAACCTCAAGTGACTTCAATCAATTTGTTCAGATCGAAAGAATACCAGGGCTGGGATCACGACAAGTGGAATTCTACTAGAATTCTACTTTCATGACGTCAGGTTGCCTAGCAACCATCATCATCGCCTGTACTGTACGCATAGGTCGCGGATGACGTCATGAAAGTAGAATTCTACTCGTCGTGGTCCCAGCCCCCAGGTCGTATTTTCGAATATTCTCGCATACGAAATTTGATACGATTTCGAATTTTCCCCATTTAATTTACATTGCTGTCAATCATATTTCGTGTACGAAATGTACTCGAATGAATTCGAAAATACGAACCCTGGAATACTGGAATGGTCGATTGGCTATTGCGAATTACAGAAGTAATTCTTTTTGTCATTTTCCTAAAATTTTAAGTGAACAAAGAAGGACATCTATCTGTAGAATACTTCCATTCGTATCTGTTCTATTTTATGGAAGCGTACTTCAAGGATGATACACACTCACTATTACTACAAGATAGCCTATCCTCAAGCCTGTATGGAACAAATCTCCCCCCCCCCCCCCAAGAAATCACCAGTTGTGACGTAGGCAGCATGTTATTTCTCGCCTTGACGTAGGTTGTTTAAGAGAGTGGTGACACACCATATGGCGACGATTACCAAAAACGAGGCTGATAAGCAATCCTGTAGGTGTTGATCATCCTTGAGCGTACTTAGCATTTTCAAGTCTTCAAAAAATTTGTTTTGTCGGGCACAGAATATATAAAGTGCGTTTTTTTTTTAAAGATAAAAGTCAAACTGACATTAGGTTGGCAATACAATGTAAAATTGTCAATGCTATCAAATTTTTCATGTAGAAAAGGCTTGTGTTGCCAACATAGTTACTAAATTTTTGACTTGGGGAATTACCTTTAAAAAAAACAGATTTTAGCTAAACCGCAGCTATATATTCTGTGGTTCGGGTTTGAAAAAAGGCGAGAACGGTTCAAAACAATCGCATAGGTTTATCGTCACTACTTGTATTTCTTTCAAGAGTTTAGAACACTAGAGCTACTCGCTCCGGTGTTAGTCGACCCGGATTTGAAAGGAACAGATGCGCTGGGCTGCGTTCAGGAATGACTACAGCCAAGCCAAAATTGGCATTTTGCGTTCGATTTCGGCTCGAACCTACGTGGTTCGGCATTACAGGTGGAGGGGGAAAAGTAGGTTTTGGCATTAGCATTGCCGTCCTTGAACTCAGGGTTGCGTTCAAGGACGGCAATGCTAATGCCAAAACCTACTTTTCCCCCTCCAAATGGGGAGGATTCGAAATCGTATCAAATTTCGTATGCGAGAATATTCGAAAATACGACCGGTAATGCCGAACCACGTAGGTTGGAGCCGAACTCGAACGCAAAATGCCAATTTTGGCTTGGTTGTAGCCATTCCTGAACGCAGCCCTGGCTTTCGTGCATTTAAAATATGTTGATACGAGTTTGAGCATTCAGGTGCAACAAAGCCGTCCTTTTTGTCAAACCCGAACAGAGCCTTATAACTCTCTTTAGAACAATGAATTTGGAGCAACTTGGGTTTTGCTCAAAGAATAATTTTCCTTGCTTATACTGGTGCCGCCCTCTCGTATTAGACGAGAGATTAACGAGTTCGCGTATCCAGAATGTGCTTCTACTGTATAGAATTCTGCTTTATTGGCCAGCCAAAACCCAAGATAAAGAAGAGAGCAGCCTATCTAACCTCAATCAAACTTTTTTCAGATTTCCGAACGGAAAACTGAAAACAAACGTTTGTATTCGTCTTCGTCATATTTGTGTTATTTGGTATTTTACGAGGCAATTTGATAGTTTAGTGATTTTAAAGAATTTGGTATATCTTCTCTACAATTTAAAGAATAAGGTAAATAATACACCATTTGATAGTAATCAAGAAAAGGCCTATAATCAAAATTGTTGCTTGTTATGTTATCAAGCGTGGTTGGATCTATCCTATCTATTTCATTTAAAATGCTTTTAAAATAGCAAAAACCACTAATATTGAGGCTGGGTTAATTGAAAGTTGAAACCGAGCGAGGCTAAATTCTTCCCCGAGCCTTCCTTTTCACAAGTTCTTTCTTCAAACTTTGTCACAAAACATGGAACTGTCTTAAAAGTGTTGTTCAGTTCTCTCTAAAGAAGTAATGGCTCCCTACCCTACGAGCATTTCACTATAAATCCAGAGGAACATTGTATGTGCCCAGTTTCAGTTATTTTGTCGCTTCTAATTTTTTAAAGTTCTATTCGAGGGGTTTTTCACCTTGTTAATCGGTGTACAAATCACTGGTTAATATATGTCAATACCAGGTAAATACTATGTCAATAGTGTCAAAACTATGCAATAGTTACCTATTTGTTAATTATGTTTTCATGGAGTTTTGAATACGGTTTGGGTATTGAAAACGCCATGAAAACAGGTTACTGAAATCGATTTCAGTTTCAAAGTCGCTTCACCTTTTTTTGGGATCGTATCGAAATTTAAATTCAGAAACATGCAATTCAATTTCAATTCTAATTCTGCCTCTGCATGAAAATGGGGAAGAGGATTGGATTCAAACAATTTGAAAACTCCATAAAAACGTAGTAATAATATGTCAATACTTGTAGATATCTAGGCAATATGTTAATGTCATTGGTTGATACCCATTAATAACATGTAAATACCTGTGAATATGTCAATACCTAGAATTCTGTCGAGACAAATATTTGATTTAAGTCTGTCAATAACGAGTCAATAGCATGGCAATACCTGGTAATATGTGATAATACTAGGGAAATACCTGGCAATATGGGAAAATATTTTTTCTCCGAATGACAGTAAAAGCATCCTTTTAATGACACTTGACAGGATCAAAAGTTGTATTTTTACTGCCTAGGCATTAAAAGTGACATTGTCGCAACATTCCAGGTAATAATTTCACTCAATTTGGTATTTGAAATTGATGACAATTGTCAAAATAATTTAATTATTTGGATAATAATATTGAATGAAATAAATATAAAAAAAGATGTCCATGTGTGAATTTGAACATTCGGAGAAAAAATTATATTGTTAGAATTTTTTTTTTTTTTTTTTTTCTAACAATTTTCATTGCCAACGAAAGCTCAGACCAATCAGTGTAGTTCAACGCCGGTAGGGGTATTTGCCCTCGGAGTAGTTGTTTCTGACTGGTCAACGAAGTTCAAAAAATTATATGTTTTACATGGCAGAAAAGCAGATTTAATGCCTCGGCTGGTTTCCTAGCCTCTGCTATGTAACACCAGCCGTGGCATTAAATCTTGTACTTTTTTGCCTAGTAAAACAAATAACTATTGTTAATGCATGGAAATAGTTGGCAAGTTGTTATTAGGTACCTACATAGAAATATCTGCTAATACATGGAAATATCTCATTTAGTACTGTTAATCGGTGTACAAATTTTGTTAAGTGAAAAACCCCGCGGTTGAATTAATTATATTCATGGTGTTGCTGTACCTACGCAGCTCTGTGAAAATACTCCTTTTTATCTAGTTCAGTTGCTTTGGATAGTTTTGGAAATCATTTACTGAGGGAAGAACTGGAATTTTCCATTATAGACAAATAGGTACTTTCACATTTAGACTGTCACAATCCCAAAAACTATCCTATATTTCAATGCAGATTCAAAATTAGCATAATAAACTATTTTTAAGGATCCAAATATGAATACCTATATAAGTAGATAATATCCTAAATGTGTGTATGGCAACCAAACTTAGTAATCTCACTAATCTCTTAGAAGATTCATTTAGTTTTCTATTTTTAGTAACTTCCTCCCAAGCTGTGATAGTTTGAAACATTTGTTAATTTTTCTGAACATTCTTCTGACTCCAGATTCCAGAATCTGATTCTGTAATCTTTGGCGAAGATTGTTCTAAATTTAAAATATCATTTATTTACAATTTTCCTTTGCAGTAAAATGGACGCTGATCTATATGATGAATTTGGCAACTACATTGGTCCAGAATTGGACAGCGATGATGAAGAAGACGATGAACAAGAGCAACAGGAAGAGGACGAACAACAAGAATATGATGTAAGTACCCAAAAATATCTAATTTTTCTACAATATAATATCACAAATTTCTATTCAGGATGAGCACATGGAAGATGAACCCCAACCCATGGCTATAGTCCTACATGAAGACAAACAATACTATCCGTCAGCTTTGCAAGTTTATGGCCCGGATGTTGAGACTATAGTCCAAGAAGAAGATGCACAAGCCCTGGATGTACCTTTGATCGAGCCTGTCAAAAAGAAAAAGTTTCAGCTGAAGGAACAGGATTTGCCCGAGACTACTTACAGCATGGAGTAAGAACTTGCATAATTGTTTAAATATAAATAATTTATGTTTGTGTTTTAAAAAGATTTTTAGCAGATATGATGGATAATACTTCTCTGATAAGAAACGTTGCCTTAATAGGCCATCTACATCATGGAAAAACTACTTTTGTAGATTGTCTTGTCAGGCAAACTCACCCAACATATCAGGATAATGAAGAGAAAAATTTACGATACACCGATCTACTTTTCACTGAACAAGAACGAGGGTGTTCAATAAAATCAGTCCCAGTAACATTACTATTGCAAGACATCAAAAACAAAAGTTATTTAATGAATGTCTTTGACACACCAGGCCACGTGAATTTTTCAGATGAAGTCACTGCTGCTATGCGTCTTTGTGACGGTGTTGTCCTATTTATTGATGCAGCAGAAGGTGTCATGCTAAACACTGAACGTTTATTGAAGCATGCTGTCCAAGAACAAATGCAAATTACTATATGCATCAATAAAATCGATAGGCTTATGTTGGAATTGAAATTGCCCCCTCAGGATGCTTATTATAAGTTAAGGCATATTGTTGAAGAGATTAATGGGTTATTAACGTAAGAATTGTTTTTTTTAGGATGAATTAATATTGAATTTAAATATTTTTTTTTTAGGTTGTATTCTGTAGATGCTAATCCTCAAATTGTATCTCCTGTATTGGGCAATGTTTGCTTTGCAAGCTCCCAATATGGAGTATGCTTTACTCTCAAGTCTTTTGCTAATATTTACAATTTATATTATGGTGAAGTCAATGTGGATGAGTTTTCAAAAAGGCTTTGGGGTGATATTTATTTTAATCCTAAAAAGTATGTAAATTATTTCTTAGTTGATGACAACAGTCCATTAACAATTGGTCATATTTTAGTCGTAAATTTACCAAAAAAGCTCCTCACAATTCAGCCCAAAGAAGCTTTGTTGAATTTATACTAGAACCTTTGTATAAAGTTTTCGCCCAAGTTGTCGGTGATGTTGATACTACTTTGCCTAAAGTTTTGGATGAGTTGGGAATCAAATTGACTAAAAATGAAATGAGATTGAATATTAGGCCGTTACTGAGGCTCGTTTGTAATAAGTTTTTAGGAGATTTCAATGGTAAGATGAAAAAAATGTTTTTTTTTTATGGGAACCATGTATTTCTTTTAGGTTTCGTAAACATGTGTGTTGAACACATACATTCTCCATTAGAAAACGCCAAGAAGAAAATCAATCACATCTACACTGGGCCTTGTGACAGCAAAGTTTATGATGACATGGTCAATTGTGATCAAGAAGGACTTTTAATGGTACAAATTTGTTCCAAGACTTTCACATACACAATTAGATTAATGTGATTGTGGATACCTTACTAATTTCTTCTGCTAATTATTAATTAATGAAAAATTTCAGGTTCATAGCTCCAAAATGTATCCTACCGAGGACTGCACCTTTTTCCAAGTATTGGGTCGCGTAATGAGTGGTACTCTTCACGCTGGTACAGATGTAAGAATATTGGGAGAAAATTATACTCTACAAGATGAAGAAGATTCAAGGGTGCTTACTATTGGGAGATTATGGATATATGAGTCTAGGTAAGATACCCAACAATAATTTTATTTGAATAATTTTGTTAACTATGACTACTTCATATTACATTTATTATGCACTCGATACTAACAACACATCATTTTCATTATTCATAACAGAAAAACGCATATCTTTTTAAAACAATTTTCTTGTTCAACTCATTAGAAGAACTACCACCATGATTTTATGTCATTTGCCAATAAATATGTGACGTTCTTGGCTTGGGTAGCATCAGAACAATATATCTATTTTATGTAAAAATTTCATAAACAAAATTGCATGTTATTTGAATGGCTTAGATTCGCAAGTTTTCGCTCAGCTCATATTTAATTATTATTCAACTATCCTTATGAATAATGTCATACATTATAGGCCCATTAAAAAAATATTATCAATTTTTTTTTCAGATATAAAGTTGAGCTTAACAGAGTTCCTGCAGGAAATTGGGTACTTATTGAAGGTATAGATCAATCTATAGTGAAAACAGCCACTCTTACCGATTTGTCTATAAATGATGATTTGTATATCTTTAGGCCTTTAAAGTTTAATACACAGAGTATTATTAAAATTGCTGGTAAGGTTTTCCAGTATTCTGGCGATTTTGATAAATTGAATTACATTTTTCTTTAGTTGAACCTGTAAATCCATCAGAATTACCAAAAATGTTGGATGGTTTGAGGAAAGTCAACAAATCGTATCCGCTCTTAAATACTAGAGTGGAAGAATCTGGTGAACATGTAGTTTTGGGCACTGGAGAATTGTATTTGGACTGTGTAATGCATGATTTAAGAAAAATGTACTCTGAAATTGATATTAAAGGTAACTTTGTTAATATTTTTCTGCTTTAAATCATTTTATAAACAATTTGTTCGATTTTAGTTGCTGATCCTGTAGTTGCTTTTTGTGAAACTGTGGTGGAAACTTCAAGTTTGAAATGCTTTGCTGAAACTCCAAACAAGAAAAATAAGTTAACAATGATTGCTGAACCATTGGAAAAAGGCCTGGCTGAAGATATCGAAAATGAGAACGTACAAATTACCTGGGATAAAAAGAGACTGGGAGAATTTTTCCAGACGAAATTTGATTGGGATTTGCTGGCCGCTAGAAGTATTTGGGCATTTGGACCAGATAACACTGGTAAGGCAATAATTTACTTTTAAAAACCTTCATGAAAAAAAAAAATATATATTTCTAGGTCCCAATATCCTGGTAGATGATACTTTGCCCTCAGAAGTAGACAAAGGTCTACTAAGTTCTGTGAAGGACTCAATCGTCCAAGGTTTCCAATGGGGTACTAGAGAAGGCCCATTATGTGAAGAACCAATAAGAAATACCAAATTTAAAATTTTGGATGCTGTTATTGCACAGGAACCTTTGCACAGAGGTAATTTGAATAATCGATTTTTCTTTTTTTGCTATAGTTATTTTGTTTTAAGGTGGTGGTCAAATTATTCCCACCGCTAGAAGGGTAGTTTATTCAGGTTTTCTAATGGCAACGCCTAGATTGATGGAACCATATTTGTTCGTTGAAGTACAGGCTCCTGCTGATTGTGTGTCTGCTGTTTATACTGTATTAGCCAAACGTCGGTGAGTATCTATTATGATTCCTAAACGTATATTGTTTATTAACTTTCATCTTTATTTATACAGTGGTCACGTGACACAAGATGCTCCAGTACCTGGTTCTCCCCTCTACACTATTAAAGCTTTCATTCCAGCTATAGATAGTTTTGGATTTGAGACTGATTTAAGGACTCATACACAAGGACAGGCTTTTTGTTTGTCAGTGTTCCATCATTGGCAGGTAAGAATTTTTATATATCAGTATAGAGCATTCCATATCTATGACACTAAAATGAAAATCATACCACCCGATGGTAGCATATTCCAAAATTGACCGGATCAATGTGACAGAGAGGATTCAGTGGGTTTTCACCAGAAATTGCCTTGAAGATCTCACCACATACCTAAACATTATAAGTGATCTATATACTATGTTAAAAATGTGAGATTGGATTGGTGTCAAAATCGATCCCCAATCTTGGACAATATCGACTGACCCAAGTATAGATCTATCAATGGAATATGGGTATGCAATAAGAATGTTGTGAACACGAGACAGGGAAATTCTACATTGACATTGTAAAGATTCAAAAGATTATTTACTCACCATAAATGAAGTTTTTCATTTATTTAAAGGAGTGTGTCATCTTTAGCAGACGCAATAGGCCTATAGATTTTCAGGTCTTCAGCAAAGGTCGGAAAGGAACTATTTCTAACTAACGCAGTCACCCTCATCCATCACTGATAAAAGTATTTAAAAGAGTAGAGAGATCGCTACGTTTGCTCTGATTATGTCTGACACACATTCACCATATTTTACATCCAAAGTTGTATTCACAAGAAAACTGCCAACCCATTGAAGTCAGGATGTTTGTTGGTATTTAGAGTACCTACATGCCTGTTGCTTTTGAGTTTTTCTGATTTTGACATAATATAATATGCACTTGATCGCAGCAGATGCTGCAAATGAAGCTTTGGGTGTTTCTGGAAGAAAAACGCAAGGGAACCCCTATTGGTGAGACGAGGACATTGAAAAAGACTTTAAAGAAAAAAGAGATACAAGAAGACAAAATTTTAATTAAAGAAGCCCCAGCAAAAGTCAGGGGAAAAATCACACAAAAGAAGAATGAATCTTGGGAAAGAAGATGTACAACAATCCAAACATACCTTGGAGGAAGAAAAAGCACAGAAAGCTGGAAAATATCAATGTCACTACGTCAAGAGAAAAAGACAGAATAATATCTCCTATTTCATTACAAAAATGGGACAAATACTTCAGTGCATTGCAAGAAGATCGAGAAAAATTTAAGGAACCCGAACGGAACGGAAATAATAATAATAATAATATATTAATAATACAATAACAGTTCACAATTATAAGTAAAGTTTACATGTTCACCAATTATAGATAACAATTTTTACAAAGAAAAAAAGCACCTGGGTGCCCAGCACCCGTATGTGCTTCAGTTGCGCATATATTATTTGTTTGCTTTACAATTTTATACATGTAAGTTTCTTATTACCATACTGTACAGCCATTACCAAAGTGTTACACACTCACACACACACACACACCCACACACGCACTCTCATCGCAGTCATCACCCAAACTCGCTATCAAACCAAGCGGAGGAAAGACCCTCACACTCAAAACAAAACTGAGAATTTAGTAAAATTACGTTATACATATTCATTACATTCTTTGGTGAATTTTTTTATGTTTTTAATAGCTCTGTCAGAACCTGGAAGCAAATTGTGAGACTTTTGGGCCAGGTAGTCAAAGAATTTCATATTGGCACTAGTGAAATTTGATCTCGAATTTGATGGTATCATGAGGGGTTTTTTACATTTGCTTCTAGTTTCGTAACAGTGATCTATTACCTTTTTTCCGAGCTCTTGCTTGTGTAAGAAGGTACAAATTGGCCCAATATAAAGTGTACGTATATAGACAGTTTCCTCCGTAAGGAGTAAATTCGATGGATATCTTCTTTCCCTTTTAAAAATTACTTTTAAAATATATTTCTGAACCACATTCAATTTGTGTAGAGCACACTCATACATTCCACCTCACACAATTATGTCATATCGAACAATGGATTCAACAAAAGATTTGTAAACCACCACCAATGTTTTTTTGTTCAGAAATTGTCGTAGGCTGTAAAATTCAGGTCTATTTGCTTCGGTTAACGAAAAGGCTATAGTTAGTGTTCGCCAAATTCAAGGAAAGTTTGAAAATTGCCAACCAGTTCCTAACGATCCTGAACCCCTCTGTCGCCCTAGATTTTACATCGTTCCAATCTTTCCCTGTGAAAATCAGCGCAGTGTCATCCGCATACGATATGACATCTCCACCAATGTTTTCCCTCAGTAGTGCATTAAGATACGTTATGAATAAGATCGGCCCGAGCACCGTTCCTTGAGGCACACCAATTTTGAGGTTCTTGCGGTCACCAATTATGTTATTGACCTTAACCATCTGTGTTCTATCCATCAGATAATTTCTGAATTCCGTAATGCGATAGTACTTTCAATAATTGAACATGTGGTATAGTATCAAAAGCTTTCGCTAGTCTATGAAAATACTTAGACATTTTGTCCCTTTGTTGAAGTTTTTTGTTATTTTAGAGGTAAATTGATAGAGGGCATCCATCGTGCTGGATCCTTCCAAGAAAGCATATTGATTCTCAGGCAGGAGTTTATTCCTCGACCAGTCTTTTTTTTACGCATTTTTTAAAAACCTTTGCAAAATGGCTTATGAGGCTTATGGGGCGATAGTTCTTAATTTGTGTTTTGTCTCCGTTCTTATGAATGGGACATACTATTGATGTTTTAAAAGCTGATTGAACTATTCCTGTCTCAAAAATTGCATTGATAATATGTTTCAGAGGTGTTATTAATTCTATGTGGGTCTTTTTTATAAAGTCGACAGTTATATGGTCACAGCCAAGTGAGCTATTGTTTGTTCTTTAATGATGAAATGTCTTCGATCAATTCGTTTACATTCACTGGTCTTAAATAGAGCGATTCTGCAAGTGAAAAGTTTTTATGCTCTGAGGATGACCTAGTTTAGGTCGAAACGTCGACAAATACATATTTTTCATCTGCAATGCTGTTTTATTGACCTGAATCTAACTTCTTGAAAACTAATCAAATAAAAAGCATGTCAGGTTAAAAGGAAGAGGGTGAAACTGTTACTGTTGATCGTGTCATGAAGATATTAATCAATGCAAGTACTGAAAGAGCTGATGAATTTTTGGAATATCTGAAAAATCAGAAATCTGTGATGTGACAATACATGTGCAATGTGTGGGTATACTATCAAGTTCAAGTGTGGCTTGGTTAACAACTAGATCCAAAAGACTGTGGTGCATCACATGTCTCCTCGTTGGTATCATACGAATCCTCTTCTGTTGGTGATTCAACATTATTGGTGCACGACTGGCCTTCCAATCCAACTTTTTTGCAACCGTATTTAACACTACATCCCCTTTTACAATTGCAAAAAATTGTGTTGAGCAGTTTTTCCAGCGCAGATAAGAATAAGGTTCAGGCTGCTTCCAATGTATTGTCGTCTGTAGATCAACTTCGAACCACAGTCTTTTGGATCTAGTTGGGTCTATGCTAGTTGTTAACCAAGCCACACTTAAACTTGATAGTATACCCACACACTACACATGTATTGTCACATCAAAAGATTTCTGATTTTTCAGATATTCCAAAAATTCATCAGCTCTTTCAGTACTTGCATTGATTAATGTCTTCATGCCACGATCAACAGTAACAGTTTCACCCTCTTCCTTTCGACCTGACATGCTTTTTATTTGATTAGTTTTTTCGAAAATGGATCAGTGGCTCAATAAAACAGCGTTGCAGATGAAAAATATGTATTTAACGACGTTTTGACCTAAACTAGGTCATCCTCAGGGCATACATTTTTTTTTTTTTTTTATTTATACAGCTTTTATCATTTCCAATACTATTATTTTTCATTATCCAATAGTTTTAAATTAAACAGGATCACAAAAAAATTCCAGGTACGGGATCGATGGGGACATTTCAACATTCATTTATAATGGTGTTCCGAACATTCATACCAATTTTCAGCTCTATGGGAATTTTTGTAACTTCACTACTATTTTTAGTAGTATTTTGACCGGATTATTGGAGATTTTTATAAAAATTATTAATGCTTATTTCATTACATATTAATGTTATCATTATTATTATTGGGTATATTAATTATTTATGAACGGAAAGAGGACAAAAGAGAAATGAACTGTGCATAGTAAGTTTATAGGTACCTACTCCGTAAAAAAATCCATGTTGGATTTATGTTCGCGTAAGAGTCGTAATGAAAAAATGAACAATTCTTAGTTTAATATCAATTTTTGAGAAAACGGTCGAAGATAAGGCTACACATATTGGTATCAAATTGGAGATAAATAAACACTTTAACGGAAAACGTCATTAGATATAGGGTGTCCCATTTAAAAAATCAGCGTAAAGCACAATGGTAAATATCAATATTTAAATAACGATTTTGACCACCCTGTATAAAAAAAACCCAAATCTTAGACTATTGCGAGATAAAATAATCCCAGCTAAGTACTTCCATACATTTTCACAATAAAATAAAAAATTGTGGTGTAGATAGTAAAATTTAAGTGGTATACTGATTTCGGTAAAAATTTCTCTAAAATATTAATAACTTGGCGACGTCGCATTTGAGGGCAACAAATATTTGGGGCTCAAAAGAGAGTCCAATGAGGCTCTAATTTCGGTGAAAAAATATAGGACATTCCATATGAAAAAAAAAATCAAATTATGTGGCCATGCTTTTTTGGGACACCCTGTATGAGCTTAACTAATTTTGAAATGTAGCCCCTATAACCTCATTGACATCCCACCTATTAAATGTTTTATCCGCTCAACGACGTAGCCGCAATCGAACACCGAAGTATTAAATGGACACCCTTATTATAAGGAGCACTATACTATATTCAAAATTTTCAGAATCAGAATTGTCCAAAATATTTATATTTGTATCCCCTATGATAATTTCGACTTCATTTTCATCTCCCAAAGAGGTCAAAAACTCCTCTACATCGTTCACGAATTTGCGCTTTAAAATTGGTGGTGGTTTATAGACAGCAATGACAGCATTCACACCTATACCCTATACTGCGGCCATTCATTCTGCAAGTCAACCTGCAATTTGTGACCTCCGAGATCAAAAATTTA